GACAGATTTAATTTTGCCTTCATATTTTCTTTTAAACCTGCCTTAACTCCCAAACCCTACATTCCTGAGACATATTTTTTCATGACAAACGTAGGAAAACATCTCGTAGCTTGAAAGATTAAAAAAAAGTAAGCAAAATAATTAAACAAAATGCCTCTTGAGGGCATGAAGTGACAGAAATAAATAAATAAAACTTTCAACATGTCTCCATTAAAACCCATTGTAAATGTAATCTCATCTTTCTCCACAACAGCATTAGCCGCACACCTTTAGTTAAACTGCCAAACAGGCCACATTATTGACCCGAAAGTACACAAAAAGCACACTTCAGATACTCAAGTTCCTTGACATGCTTCACACTTTGAAATTTCACAGATATCTGTTACGGTTCTTCCACAAAACGTTCACATGTAAGAGGTTTATCTCTCATTCAGAGCAATGAAAACCTTTGATCTCTGGACACCTCGTTAGCTCAAATATAAACACCTGTGTAATGGAACACGATGATGTCATCGCTCCAATGACATGCTCAGAGCAGCAGACTTCAGATAAAGGTTAACGGCCCTGCCCTCAACAGCTCTACGTCAAATATGGGGTGTCATCATATGCCGTTTCTATGGAAACGCATCCCTCGCCATAAAAGACGATGTCGCTACAACTCCTATGAAAATGTTCAAAAAGTGCTCAAACTTCACATGTGTGCTAACAGTCCAGCCGTGAAGACATCTACGGGACAGTTTTGAGATTTCTTCAAATGCCGTTGCCATGGCAACGCAATGCTCGCCATGAAACACGGTTTTCTCATAACTTCAGTGAAAATGCTCCAAATGGCCCAAAACTTCACAGGTTTGGTAACGATGCAGCCATCAACGCATCTAAGCGTATTATGGGATGTCATCAAATGCCGTTGGCATGGTGACAGATCATTCACCATCAAGTTAGTTCAAAGGTTTGCAGGTAAAATATTCTGCTGCTTTTTCAAGCCTTTTTACTTTATTTTCTTCTCTCATCACACATTCAAGCCCCCAGTGTTCATGTATCATTTCAATCTAAATTCTTCACTTTCTTCTTACACATTACATTTCAGCATAGCAGTGTAGCGTCAGCTTTTCAGCATAAAGCATTCCCACTAGCAATTTCTTCAGGAATTGCATTCTCTAGTTTGTTTAGATATGGCCCTTTATATTTGTTAAACATTTTTATATATCCGAGACCTATAATATATGCCTAAAAATAGTATAATAGGAGACCTTTAAACAGCCGCTTCACCACCTAGAATCCCCCCTCTAACAGCTGGAGCATCGTCCTCCACCAGAGCATACTCATTTATTCACTTGTGGTTTCATTCACACTCAGAGTGTAAATTAGTGCTGCAGCTTTCAGCAGGAGCACATCTGAAGAGCGTCCCTGCAGGATGAGAGAAACCTGAGAAATGTGACACCAATCAAAAGTCTCCTGACACCGAGGTTAACCTCATTCAGAGAGGAGGGTTATTAACCTGTTAAGCATGATTGCCCCCGCCGGCGGGGGAAAACACGACAATATTGCACGAAGCTGTGTCTCAGGGCTTCTTTACATTAAACAACCTAGTAATGTGTCATTCCCACTTAACGGGAAGAAACTCAGCTAACTAGCGATATGAACCATTTTTAGCTAAACGAAACACAAGGGTAACACCAAGCGTCTGAATTAGTACTAAGCGAAAAAAATGCTAACGCACTTAGCACATAACTCACGGTAGCAATATGTTATACTTACGGCAGCGAAACCCAGGAAAGACAACACACAACTTCACTTTACGGGGCCAAAACGGCAAATACGTCTTACCTTTGCTGTTTTCTGATAAAAAGTTGTCTTCAATGGCATTAAAACACATATAAACGCTACTGAAGGTTAATCCAATTGTGTCACTTTGAAATTATTACTGATAATCCATCATCATATTTATGGCAATAAACGTAGTTTTCATATAGAGTGTAAGGGAGCTTCCGGTTTTGGGCATGCTGCATGCGCATCACTCTCATTCACCAATGGTAATGTTTAGATGGATTTAGGAAACCCCCCCCCCCCCCCCCCCCCCCCCCCCCCCCCCCCGCTCGATTCTATTGGCTCTAACGGTTAAGAAGTGGTGTCAATCATCAACATCGACCAATGGGTTCCAGAGATACGGCAAATACACCCAAATGACCCCAGAAGTGTTTTTTTTTTAAAGATCTCTCTTGAAAGGTCAAATGTCACTTGTTTTGCATCAATCTTGATACAGGGTACTTATTATATGTTATAGTTTGGATTCCTAAAGGTTTTTGGCTACTATCCCATCATTCAAAGGTGGTTTTCACTATAAGTAATGTTTTTTCTTTAGACGGAAACTATAATTTACATTTTTTTACTATGTTCAATCAGGAATTTACTTTAAAATAAAAACATCTATATTGATTCTGACACTTCTACATCCAACTCACAGGTTTATCATTGCTTTGAGAAAAAAGATTATTCATTTACTCCTTTTTAGAAGTGAAGATATATGCATTTGTTCTGGGCATGTCATTTTCGAGCCTGAGGCCTGAAAAACAGGCTCCGGGCTTAATCAATCAATCATTCAATCAATGTTTATTTATATAGCCCAATATCACAAATGTTACATTTGTCTCAGTGGACTTCACAGTTTGTACAGAATATCAGTATGACAATACGACACCCTCTGTCCTTAGACCCTCACATCGTACAAGGAAACACTTCCAGAGAAAACCCACAGTTTAAAGGGAACATGGGAGAAACCTCAGGGAGAGCAACAGAGGAGGGATCCCTCTCCCAGGACGGACAGACGTGCAATAGATGCCGTGTGTAAATTGAAAAGATAATACATTTTACAACATAGGTAGTCCAAATGTTTGGAAATGCATGTGTGTATAATAGGAAGATGAATCCACGAGGATATCCATCCAGGACCTATGATCCAGGACCACAGCCACGACTCAAGATCCAGGGCTCGCGATGCAGGACACAGGACCGCAGGATCATCCATGACTCCGGATCCCGGCGTATATAGACACCAAAAAGAAAGACATTTGGGGAAGCTGGGTTAATCGGAACATGAGAGTACACAGGTATAGACAGAGAGAAGGAAGAAGTAAGATGTCCCCCGACAAACCAAGCCTATATCAGCAAAACTAGGGGCTGAATCTAATCAGCCCTAACTATAAGCTTTATCAAAAAGGAAGGTCTTAAGCGCACTCTTAAAAACGGATAGGGTGTCTGCCGCCCGAACACAAACTGGAAGCTGATTCCACAAATGTGGAGCTTGATAAGAAAGGCTCTGGCTCCCATTGTACTTTTAGAGACTCTAGGAACAACCAACAACCCTGCATTCTTGGAACGCAATGCCCTAGTAGGACAGTAGGGTATAATGAGTTATTTAAGGTACGATGGCGCCTTCCCATTAAGGGCTTTGTAGGCGAGAAGAAGAATTTTAAATTCTATCCTGTGTTCTATAGGGAGCCAGTGTAAGGCAGCCAGAA